AGTAGAGGTGAAGACATTCATGTAGGGAACAGTGTGAGCAAAGGCACAGAGGTGGGAAATGTGGATGTGCATATATGTTTATATACATACACATGCACCCATATATGTATGTGCATGCATATGTTTTATATATGTATATAGTAAACTACTAATCTATCAATAAACATTTATTAAGACCTACTGTGTGCCAAGTACTGTGCTAAACACTAGGGATACAAAAAGAGGCAAAAGACATTTTCTGCCCTCAAGGAGCTTACTATCTAATGGGGGAAATAACATGCAACAAATATGTACAAAGCAAGTTATATGCAAGATAAATAGGAAATAATTAATAGAGGAAGGCAATGGAATTAAAAGGGATTAGGGAAGGCTTCCTATAGAAGGTGGGATTTTGGTTGGGACTTCAAGGAAGCCAGGGAGGTCAGTAGTTGGGACAGAGGAGGAAGAACACTCTAGACATGGCGGAATGGCCAGAGAAAATGCCTGGAGCCAAAAGATGGAGTGTTTTGTTCTTCTTGTTCGTGGAACAACCTGCAGGCCAGTGTCACCAGATCAAAGCATACTATTAGGGAGTAAGGTATCAGAAGATGGGAAAGGTAGGAGGGGGCTAGGTTATAAAGGGCTTTAAATGGCAGAGAGAGCATTTTGTATTTAATTCTGGAGGGAATAGGAAACCATTGGAGTTTACTGAGTAGGAGGTAGTAGTGACATATCAGACCTTCATTTTAGGAAAATCACTTTAGTGACTGAATGGATAATAGATTGGAGTGAGGAGAAACTTGAGGCAGGCAGATTCCTAAGGAGGCTATTGCAATAATCCAGGTCTAAGGGGATGAGGTCCTGCATTAGAGTGGTGGCCGTATCAGAGGAAAGGAGATGTATTGAAGACATATTGCAAAGGAAATCTGCAGGCATTAGCAACAACTTGGATATGGAGTATGAGATATAGTGAGAAATCTAGGATGATTCATAGGTTTCAAGCCTGGGTGACTGGGAAGATGGTGTTGCCCTCTACAGTAATAAGCAAGGTAGGAGTAGGAGAGGGGTTAGGGGAAAAGATAATGTTCTGTTTGGGATACATAGAGTTTAAATTGTCTACTGGACATCTAGTTCAAGATCTCTGAAAGGAGATTGGAGATGTGAGATTGGAGGTCAGTGGAAAGATTAGCAGAAAAGGTAGATTTGAGAATCATCAGCATAGAGATGGTAATTAAATCCATTGGAACTGAAGAGATCACCAAATGAAGTAGTATAGAGAAAGAAGAGAAGAGGACCTAAGACAGAACCCTGGAAAAGGACCCAGCAAAGGAGACAGAGAAGGACAAGTCAGACAGGTAGGAAAAAAAACTAGGAGAGAGTGGTGTCCTGGACACCTAGAGAGAAGAGAGAATCAAGGAGGAAAGAGTGATCAAGTGTCAGAGGCTGCAGAGAGGTCAAAGGAGAATGGAGATTGAGAAAAGGCCATTGGATCTGAAATTTAGAGATCATTAGTAACTTTGGAGAGAGTAGTTTGGGTGGAATGATAAGGTTGGAAGTCATCTTGCAAGAGGTTAAGAACAGAGCAAAAGAAGGGAAAGTGGAGACATTTATTGTAGTCAGTCTTTTTGAGGAGTTTAACTACAAAGGATAGGAAAGATATAGGACCATAGTTAGCAGGGATGGAAAGATCAAGTGAGGATTTTTTCAGGATGCTGGAGACAAGAGGATATTTATAGGTGGTAGGAAATGAGCCGGTAGATAGGGAGAGATTGAAAATAAGTGAAAGAATGAGGATGACAGAGGGGGCAATCTGTTGGAAGAGATGGGATTGAATGGGATCACTTTAACAAGTAAAAAGGTTAGCCTTGGGAAGGAGTAAGGCCACTTCATCATGTGAGACAGGGGTGAAGGAGGAGATAGTGGTAGTAGGCATCTGAGTGAGAGGAGAATAAGGAAGCAGGGACAGGAGGGAATTCATGGTGAATGGCCTCGATTTTTTCTGTAAAATATGAGGCAAGGTTCTCAGCCAAGAGGATGGGGAGCCATGGGAGGTATGAGGAAGGATGAAAAGGTTAAGAAGAGCTGCTGTGAAGAGTGGGATGGTGAATAAATGAGGCAGGTATCATGGGATTACCTAGCAGTAATGAAGGTCTAGTTGAGGTTGTGTGACATAAACTTGTAGTGGATGCAGACGGAATGGTTGTGTGATTTTTCTCCACCTTCATTTAGCAGCACGTGTGTGGGCACAAAGGTGACAAATGAAGGTGATCCAAGGCTGAGGCTTAGCTGGGTGTAACTGAGTGTAATTGGATGAGAGAGCTAGGGATTCAAGAGAAGGGGACAGTGTGGAGTTGAATTTGTTCACCAAGGAGTCAGGAAGGGGGTGGGAAAGAGGAGAGGATGGCTAGTGCAAGGGAGGTGGCTTGGCAGAGAATTGAGGGGTCAAGGATTTGGAGGGCATGGTGAGGATGAAGAGCGGGGCATATAAGGGAAAGCAGAGGGAGAAGCGAATTGGCTTTTATGGTCAATATATGGTCAGATAAAGGAATTTCAGAATTCGTGAACATGGAAGTGGTACATTTGTGGGTGATGGCAAGATGGCAACATCTTGGTGTGTGGCTGAGGTGTGTTGGAGGAGTAGCTCATGGGAGGGCAAGTAGGTTGAGGAACTGAGTGGTTAGGGCATTTGAGGGAGAATCAGTATGTATGCTGAAGTCCCCTAGGATGACAGCAGGAGTTGAGGAGGAGAGAAAAACTGCAAGCCAAGTACTGAACTCATTGAGGAAGGAAGGGGAGTAATGGAGAGTAGGTGGTTTTCTGTAGACAATAGCTACCAGGATTTTGATTGGGTGGTAGATATGAATCACATGAACCTTAAAGGAAGAGAGGTGATAGAGGAAGGGAGAAAACCTGGAAGTGGCAGTGGGAAACAAGGGGTATTCAACTTTTTCACCTCAACCAATGAGCCAAGGAGAACGAATGAAGGTCCAGCCAGTACTAGTATGTATAATTCAGACCTAACTTCAGGGTTGTAGAAGGAACTCAAACAAATTCTTGACAACTAAATTTTGAATAGCATATAAGGAAGAAGAAAGATCAAGATGATGAGACGATGAGACAGACATTCACAGATCATAGGATTGCGGATTTAAAACGGAGAAGGAACTTGGAAATCATTTAGTTCAAACACTTTGTTTCATAAATGAGAAAACTGAACAAAGGTCACATATAGGCAGAGCCTGAATTCATACCCAGGTCCTCTGATTTCCAAAGCCCTGCTCTTGTCTTCAAACCAGGAAGAGTAAAAGGGAGACCAGCCTGAGGGACAGCCTTGGGGGCAGGCACAGGAGTTGTCAACCTTAATACTTTATGGGAGGAGGCATAGGACCTGGGATTCCACAGATCTACCTTGATAGGTCTTGAAGTCAAAAGGCCTTGAACAACTTGCATTCCTCCCAGCTTTTGTGATAATGTTGAGTCAAACCACCACACTTACCACCTCAGACTGGGATGGAGACAGTCTGAGACCCTGAGCTCAAGAGCCCTGGGAATAAGAACGGCCTAGTGTTCTAGACTAGTGACCCCACTGCCAAGGCTTGGGAGCAGCCATGAGGAGATGAAACCTGCAATTGCTTCTTCTGGCACCTTAGTTCCATCTCCCTCCCAAACACACACACACACACACGCCATAGACATATTTGTTGGCAGTCAGAGCTATTGAAAAGACATAAATAAAGTTCTTGACACCAAAGTCTTTGGCTTTGGGGTTGTTCAATATCAGAAATAGATTGTTTTTTTTTTTATTACCTTAAAGATTTGCTTTGATAAGGACCATCAGCTCCATCTGACTCATTTAAACCACCTGTATTTGTTGTCTCTCCCATTAGAATTCTAGTTCTTTAAGAACAAGGACTGTCTTTTCTTTTTGTATCCCCAATGCTTAGCTCAGTACTTAATAAAATGCATTTGTTCATTCATTCATTCATGAACATACCAACAATCTAGATTCCAGTCCTAAATCTACCACTTAATGTGTGTCTATATGAACAAGCCACTTTTTCTGAGCCTTAGTTTTCCTTATTTGAAAAAATGGACTTAATAATCCCTGCTTAAGTGCAAAAGTGTTTTGAAAATGGCAAACCTTTCCACTGTAAAGGTTTTGTTTTGTTTTACAGGGACTATAATTTCATCCCCATAGGGTACTCCTAGTAAGAGTTGCCTCGGGCACTAAGAGGTTAGGTGGCCTACCTAAGATAACTTGCTGTTGTTCATCTGTTTTTTTTTTTGAAGAGGACCAATGAAATCACAAGATGATGTCTTGACTTGATCATGAATTGGATTTAAGTGAAGAAGAGTTGCACAAAATCCTCAGCTCACTCTCTCTCCCAGTCATGGAAGTCTAATGGCAAGACGAAAGTCAAGATGACTGGCGATGGCCTGGGATGCAGTGGATGACCTGGGCATCTTTGATATCTGACCAAGATCTAAGTGCTCCACAGCATCTGCTCCAGCCACTTTCATGACCGTTGGGACAAATAGTTTTATCCATCCATTCCGCTGGGGAAAGTCTTCACATGCTTGGGGTAGACATCCTCCTAACTCACTGATGGGTTTGAGACCTGTTGGTTACTTTCAATCTGGCTTAGCCCATCTGCTGAGACAGTCTTACTGGGGTGTGGCCACTGTACGTGCCACATAGTTTTGTTGTAGCCACAGGTGAGCAGTGAGTGCTAGATGGACGAGCAGCCCTGAAAAGGGCTCAACAAGCCGTCACACCAGAGTTACTAGTCCTCCTTGAACACCCCATATACCACAAAGTCACATAGCTAGATTATACAAGAAACCAGGACTTGGCCACATCTTCTTGACTTTGAGGCCAGGTCTCCAGCCACGGGCCCCAATGTCTCTCACTATTGCTATTGCTATTATTTTATTTATATATGTTTATACTTGTGCATTCATATATATTAATACTGAGACTTTAAAATAGACACATTTACATACAAAATTAATCACATATGTAGAACCAATAAAATTTTTATTTTTATTTGTAAATATGCTTTTTTAAAAACAGATATAAAGTCCTCTTTGTTTTAATAGGGAAATGATGACAAAGAAGAAATGGAGTAGCTTGGAATTAGAGAGGAGGTTCAGGATCAGGACAGCTTATTAGGAAGGGTATGGGAATGTTGATCAGAGGCTGCATTTGGGGATTCCTTATCCCTGCCCTCCCTCATGCCTCAATCCCTTCCCTTAGTTTTCTCAACCCCAACTCTTGATGTCTCTCTCCCTTTTGACCTCCTCAGATTCTCCTTTCTGCAGTTTTCCTGTCTCAGTCTATCTTCTCTCCCATGGACTGAAGCTGGGCTTGGGAAGAGAGCTGTGGCTCTGAACTGGAGTTGTCCATCCATAGACGATAGGCCAGTGAAGTGGTCAGTGTGAGCCAGGCCAGGTAGGGCAGCAGGAGCAGGACAGCTAGGCCATTGATGGAGTGCCAGCTCAATGCCATGCCCAGCACCAGTCCATAGAGCAGGAGAAGGTGGCATAGAGTCTGGAGAAAGAGGGATAGACAGTGATATGAGGAACAGGGGTGGGGTGGAGACATGATCATGCCAGGGGAATGTCGGGGATAACCCTGGCATCAGTAATAGTTTCTTTTCTACAGTATTTCTTCTACCCTGGGTGCCCCCTCCATCCTTCTCCCCCTACCTTGCTTTACAGACTATATTCTGGGACTTCCTCAATAAATACTCACTGAATGAATGAATGGTCTGCTTTGGGGATCTTAAGGTACTGCTTCTTTCCTCTACCCTTTCTCAAGAACACCCCCACTCCATCCATGCACACACCCAACCACATTCCTGAATATCTTCACCTTACCAGACCAAGGTTGTGGGCTCCGAAGAAGAGGAGCAGTATGATCCAGTTGAGAACAAGCTGGGTAATATAGAGACCAAGGGGCAGGACCAGAGGACGAGCAAAGCCCCCACCCAGATCCTTCCACACCAGGTAGGAGGCGTAGCTTTGGGGAGAAAGTGAAGCATGCACTTCAGTGGGGAAAGTCTGCAGGGAATTGATAATGGATGGGAAGAGGAGAGAGCAGGAATAGAGAAGGAGTCATTGGAGGGCTAGGCATAGAACAAGTAGGATAGGAAGTTCAGCACAAGAGGAAATCTTAGGGCTTATGTGAAGCAGGAGGGTATTGGTGTCAGAATACAGGCCTGAGGGAAGACTACTGGGAAAAGAGACTGGGGACCTGATAATAATGAACATTTCTTTTTTTAAGTAATTGGTAGAATATATTTACACACTCTCTTTAAAAAAGGGAAGGAAAGGGGCAGCTAGGTGTCACAGTGGATAGAGCACTGGCCCTGAAGTCAGAAAGACCTGAATTCAAATCCAGCCTCAGACAAAACACATGACACTTACTAGCTGTGTGACCCTGGGCAAGTCACTTAACCCCAATTGCCTTAAAAAAAAAAAGGGAAGGAAACAATAACAACAACAAAACAGATGAATCTACAGAATGTAAAACAAGGCAAAGAAAGAGGGACCTCCTTAAGCTTTGAGCATTGGACACCCCCTTAACCCATAATCTGACTTGTTGAATTTTAAGAGACTTTTATACTTTCTTTGAGTTTTAACACATTTAAAAATGACTGAATGAATTTTTAAAAGCATGCAGTGTGATTAACTAAGGTGATCTTTTTTTTTTATCAGGGCTAGACTAGATTTTTTAAAATAGTTTTCAACATTTGCTTTTATAAGATTTCGAGATGAACATTTGTAATAGAACTTTTGGGTTGACAAAATGCTTTCCTTTATAACAATTCTGTGAGGCAGATAGTTCAAGTATTATATGTCCATTTTACACATATGGACATAAACTTAGTTAAAGTAACTTGCTCATGTCCACACAATTCTTAAGTGTGGGAACTAGGTGGGATTTGAACCCAGGTCTTCTGACTTTAGGTCCAGTGCACTTTACTTTATATGATGCTGCCTTTGAGAGACAGAGAGTTTCCTGAGGTAGGGTGAAAAGGTACAGAGGAGAAGTAACAAAGTTGTTGTTTAATTAATTAGTTCTGTTGGACTCTTCGTGGACTCTTTTCTTGGCAAAGATACTGGAGTGGTTTGCCCTTTCTTCTCCAGCTCATTTTATAGATGAGGAAACTGAGGCAATTGGGATTAAGTGACTTGCCCAAGGTCACACAGCTAGTAAGTGTCTGAAGCTGGATTTGAAATCAGGAAGGATAGTCTTCCTGACTTCTGGGCCAGCGCTCTATTCACTGTGCCACCTAGTTAAGAGCTGGAAAGAATTTAGAATGGAGGGGCTGTTGGCTAGTATCAGCCCTAGTGGAACAGACACAGATCTCTGGAAAGTTGCAGAGACTTTATTGAAATGGTGGGCCTTTGTTTGGTAAAAGAAAAAATAGGGATGGAACCAGGTAACTAGTGGGGAAGTGAATAGAGAGTACCTGGAATCAGGAAGTCCTGAGTTCAGATTTGACCTCAGATACTTACTAGATGTATGACCCTGGGCAAGTCTCAACGTCAGTTTCCTCAGCTGTAAAATAGGGATGAGAGTATCTACCTCACAAGATTGTTGAAAGAAGTAAATGAAATAAAATTTGAAAAATCACTAAACACAGTGCCTGGCACACAGTAGTCACTATATAAATACTTATTCCATTTTCCTCTCCCCTCTTTCCACCCTCCATATCTCTAGAGTGGGGCTTGTTACAGAAATTATGGGCCCAGGGATGCTTTTTTCTTATTCTAGCCCTAGAAAACAGGGACTGGGGCCGGGAGCTGGGGACAGGATTTCACTTAGGGCCTCACCCCATGGTGGAGTAGATGGTGGTCCATACAATTAAGAAGAGCTTGTTGGGTGGCCACCAGGGTGGCTTTTTCAGGGTCTCATACCAGGTGGGCATGTGCTGTCGAGCAAACAACCAGCCCGCAATGGGCCCCACGTGGGGAAAGGCCATGAAGAAGGTGCTTTGAGGCCACATTGTCCAGTGGGCCTGAGCCTGAGGAAGAAGAGATGCCAGTGATGAGGGTGGCCCTGAGTTCTACCCATTCTCCCAGCTCTTTGCTCCCTTCCCAAAACTGTATCCCTTTCAGTTTTCACTTCCTTTCCCATCACTGTCCTTCCATAGAACCATAGACTAATCACATACTAGTTCTGTGACAGTATCTAGAACCAGTATCTGGAGTGTTGGACTAGTAGTCAGGAAGACTTGTATTCAAATCCTGGTTCATATACTTACTAGTCATGTGACTTTGGGCTAGGCACTGGGAGCAACCTCAGTTTCCTTATCTGTAAAACAAGGGTAATAACAGCACCTTATATCACAGAGTTCTTATAAGGATCAAATGAGATGACATGTAAAATTCTTTGACAATCTTAAATAAACTAGTTTATCTTTCTGTTTTTCTAAACCCTGTGAAAAAACTCAAGTCCCACATCCTCCCTGAAACTTCTGGTATCATTCTTGGCCCATAGAGTAAACTCTGCCTTCTCACCCCTTCCCCACCTTCATTTACTGTCCTACCTTCATTGAGCACTTGGTGCATGTAAACTGCCTTGAATCTTTAACGTATGCTATTCTTTTCTCCCCGACAAGACCATGAACCCTCCGAGACTTAGTCTTTTATATCCCTCAAAACACTTGGCAGAGGGCTGGACACATCTGACTCTCATTGAATTGAAATAAACAAAGCACAACTGAACTGAACCAGGGGCATGATGGGTGTGATGTAGAGTAAAAAAACCAAACAAACACACACAAAAAACAAAACCTGAGTTTGAATCCTGGTCTGCTACTAGGTAATCTAGGTGCAGGGGAGACAAGCGTTATATATACCTATATTGTGCCGGGAACTGTGTGAAGCACTTTACAAATATTATCTCATTTAATCCTCACAACAACCATTGAAGGTAAATGCCATTAAACTGCCCCCCCCCACTTTTCCAGTCAAGGAAATCAAGGCAGACAGCCCTTAAATGACTTACCTAGGATCATGCAGCTAGTAAGTGTCTAAGATCAGATCTGTTCAGGTCTTCCTAACTCCAGGCCATATAGCTACCATCTTGGACAACTTACTTCTCTAAGGCCTTCTGTGGATTCAGTTCTTCCTCAGTAAAATGATGTGGATATCTAAGATTCTTTTCCAGTAAGAAATCTTGCATCTGTCCTTAGACTACATTTCAGTCTCTTGTTTAAGTAACTGGTCACTGCCAGGAATCATCAGGCTTCTTTTTAGCAAATATCTGACCTTCCCCTCTCTGCTTCAGGAGTTATCTACCTTCCACAGGCATTCTGCCCCATGGATGCCAGCTTGGCAGCCGTGAACTAGCCCAACTCAGCCTGGAGGTGCCAGTTCCTTCCCGCCCAAATTCAAACAACTGCTTGGCAGTCTGTTGACTTCCTTCTCTAAGGAGAGTGCTCCAGCCAGCCTCTGAAGCTAAAAACTCAGGTTCTGGAGATCCTTGCTCAACTTTCCCACCTCCAAAGAGTAGGGCAAGGAGCCCAAGTCCAGGTTATGGGAAACTCCTCAGTGAAGAAAAAAAAAAGTCCAAGCACAAGGTCAGGTATAAAAAGTCCAAACCCAAGGTCACATGGCTAGTAAGTGTATGATGAAGATTCAAACACAAGTCTTCTGGACTGCAGGTCCACACTAGTATTTGTGCTAATCTGCATGAAATGTGCATGTTCAAGATCATTCAGAATCCCCTAGCCCAGCCCCTCAGTCTCACCCTACCCTCACATATGTTCTTGCTCCTGATGATTGAAATTGAATTAACTCAGCAAACTCACACACAGTTCCCCCTAACTAGGTCTAAACTTAATTGGTTTCAAGGATCTCCTGGTGTGACTGGCCTATTCTTTTTAGTGGGTCCCTTTCTGCTTGTTTTTGTCTATTTACTAGTTTCCTCATCTGTAAATTGAAGATAGTAACAGCCCTTACTTTACAAGTTTTTTTTGAGGACCAAATAAGATAACATAGGTAAAGTGCTTTGCAAACCTTAAAGCCAGTCAGCAAGAGTTTGTTTATTCAGCACCTACCCTGTGCCAGGCACTGTGCTAAGCCCTAGAAATACAAAGAAAGGCAAAAGACAGTCCCCTCCCTCCAAAAGCTCACACACACTCTAATAGGATTAAAGTGCTTTGTAAATGTGAGTTACTACTATTATTACCTTTCTGGATGCCTGACACTAATAGTCTTATAGTCTGCACCTCTTTCTTTATGTCTACCCTAAAAGAGTACTCTGTGGCCACATCTTTTTCTCTCTGTCTCATTCTCATTCTCCCCACCCTTGCCCCCACCTCCATATAGAATATGCCCTCTTCTTCTTACCTCAGTCGGTTGACTTCCTTCACTCTATGCCTGATGAGCCATGTTTGGGGAAGCAGAGAAGATGGGGTGTGAGGAGGTAGGGTGGGGCTCACTACCTTCTCTTCCCAGATGTCTAGGGTGGTGACAAGTAGCCATAGGAGGTACCACTGAGGAGGTGCCTGAATTGTTAGTCACTTTCATTCTTTGAGCTAATCTTTTCAATCTCCCCTCACTCAGATTTTCTTAAACCTTCTTGACTCTCCCCTGCTGTCCATGCCATTCTCTTTAGAGAGCTATCTTATGGAAGAACAGGAGAGCCTTCTAGAAGCTCTCAGGTGTTGCCCATTTCTGGCTCCACTGCTCCTGAGTTTCGTGTCCCCAGGCAAGGCTCTGTCACTCTCTGATCACAGTTAGCCCCAGTAGCATTCCTGTAGGTGGAAATGATATCAGACTGACAAGGTATAAAAATTAAGAAAGTTCCAAGATTGGGACTGCTTTGTAGTACATGAAACAAATAGAGAGAGAAGCAGTTATTTTTAACTCTACTTTTTAAACTGAACCAACCCATCCAGGTAGACAGATCCTACACTGCTTGTTAATGTGATGAGTTTTTCCCTAATGACAAGGAGTTCAGTGAGAGAGGAAGGAAGCCCACCTGGTGACCGACTGAAGCAGAGAGCTCTATAGCCCCAAGGGTTAACATCTTCCTCCATCCTAGCCCCAAGTCACCTTGTTCTCTTGATTCTCTCACCCCCCCAGCCAACTCTCTAAGGTTTGCCCTCACTAACGCCTTCTCCTCATCCTTCAGGGTTTCCTCTGTATTTGGGGGTGGGGAGTATATTATGACCTTCTGCTCTTACTCTGGGTTGGGTTTGGGGGAGGGCAGCAGGGGAGAAGAGGGGAGTGAGACAGCCTGGCAGGTGTGTCAGAAGGTAAAAGAATTATTAACTGAGACTAGAAGAGGAAGAGTAATTTCCTTCCTAAGGGGGAATGACAGCTGGGGGACTGAGAAGGTTCATAGAGACCCCTGAATTAGAATCCAGCCGGAAGGCGAGGACCAGTGGTGCAGTGAAAAGAGCAATGGATTTAGAATCAGAAGATGTGGGCCCAAATCCTAGCTTGAACACAGACACATCTATGGGGATTTAAGCAAGTTGATTGATCTCTCTGGGTTTGAGGCAGCATGGTGGGCACAATGAAGAGAGCACTAGGCCTGGAGTCTAGAAGACTTGAATTCAAATTTGGCCTCATACTACTAACCATGTGACCTTGGGCAAGTCATGGAACCTCTTGTTTGTCTCAGTTTCCTCAGCTATGAAAGGGGGCTAATGGTAACACCCAAATCTCTCAGGGTTTGTGTGAGGATAAAATCAGACTATATTCGTAAAGAGCTTAGAGCAGTGTCTGACACATAGTAAGTACTTAATGAAAGCTTGTTTCCTTCCTTAGTGTTTTCATCTATGAAAAGGGGAAATTATACTGAACATCTCAAAGGTCCCTTCTGGCTCTGAGATTCCATTACCTCTACAAGCTGAGCCCAACCCTAGGAGATCAAGGTATGTGAACATCCCAGTTATTCTGTACCCTCCCAATCTCAAAAGTTGTAAAAGGATGTAAGCTGCTTCTACATGATCATGGGTTTTGCCTCTGTCATCTTGGATTGTCAGCAGTCAGGGAGATCCGTGCAAGGCTATTATTCAATCATGGACCACTAGAGGGGGTAGAAGGGCAAGGTTTTTAGCTAATTCACCTGAGCAGATTTCTCCTTCCTCCTTCCCCCTCCCTCCCCCAAACACCCGACCCCTCCAAGATTATGTGGACAGGCAAGATCCCGGGTTTCTGGCATCCCCGGCTATCCCCAGAGTCTTCCTGCTTGAACGTTCACTGAACTGAGACTGTCCTTTTCCCTAAACAAACAAACAAACAAAAAACACACCTCAAGACTTGCTCCCACTTTCCTTTTTAGAGGGTATGGAGGAGTATCCTGAGACTGACTATGCCAGGAAGCCTCAGGCCACACCCTCTGTCTAGATTCCACTTCCCTCCCTCATTCCGTTCTTACTTTTCTTGTAGCTACTGCTTTGCTTTGACTCCTTGGATACCCAGGTGAACTCAGGTCTTCAGAATAATTAGGTAAGTGTGGGCTTGGGGCATATGTGGCCAATCATTATAGGAGATGAGCTCAACAAGGCAGCAGGTGACTAGAGGGACCAATATTGGTCTGACCCAGAGGGGAGAGGAACAAAGACTGAAAGAGGCTGGGTTGGGACTGGGGTGGTAGGTAGAGTCTAGGCACATATCTATACATTTTGACCACAAATTTCTATTCTGTAAAGTGTTCACGGACAATATGCAGGATACCAGGGATTATTTTGACATCTTACAGAACAGACACTTTTTCTAAGGCAGGGCTACAACCCTGGATTAGGGGTTGTCTACTCAGCAGGAGCTCCTAATTGGGGAAGAATGATGGGGAAGGCCTGGAGAGACTTCCAAGGTCAAGTTGCTGTGGGAGGTGAGAAAGGGATAAGGACTGGATCTGGGATTTCTTTGATTATATCAAACTTCTAAGTAAGGAAGCTCCTTCTATGATGCAGGCTAGCACCTGAGCTACTAATACCCTTAGAGAGTTGCTTAGAGCACTGGGAGGTTCACATATCCAGGGTTCACACATCAGGACTTGAACTCAGGTCTTTCTGGCTTTGAGACTGACTCTGTTTATTAGGCCACCGTGGCTAGGGAGGAGAGGCTGTGTAAAAAGTGGTAGGAAAATTCAAATCCGTCTTCAGCTTGGGGAGTGAGGATGGGTAGAATTTGCAACTCAGATTGAGTTGTAGGGTTTGGACCTCTGAGTCTGAGTGAGAACAGGAAAGGATACAAAATGGGTTTTGGTTGTTTGGGCATTCTCAGACCAGAGGTTTTCCTCCAGATCTAAAGACTCCACATTTAGTTGGAGCTAAGTAAATTCTCAAAGATCGAAATGAGGAGGGAGTGAGGGAAAGAGCTTTTGTAGATGGCGGTGGTCAGGGGGATGTCTCCATCCTTAAAATGTCTGGACTAAGATGAAGGGGGAATAGATGGGATGACTTCTACCTCCATACAGGTGCTTTATTTTAAGGAGGAGAGGAGATTCTTGGTGGAGAATCTCAGGGTCATTGCTTTAGAAACCAACCCTGATAGTAGTCCAACCCTGTCATTTTATATATGAAGAAAGTGAAGATTAGGAGGGGAAGTGATTTGCCCAATATCTCACAGGTCTAAGTAGCAGGGATCAAGATTCAAACTCCAATTTCCTGACTCAAAACTTGTATCATCACTCTGACAAGAGGCCCTATTTATCTAAGGGCTGATAGCAAAAGAGGACACTCCCTCGAATAATGCCTACATATCCCTTTAGCAGTCTCATGGTATAAAGGGGATTTGGACTCTGATCTTGCGAAGCCCCAGGAAGTTTGCTGTAGCAGAAAAAGAACAGACCACATGTGCTTTCCTTCTTCAAACTAAACCCTAGCCTACTGTATGTCACTGGCCCTTTGCTGATGATATGGAAGAGATGAGGGTGCCCTCAACCATAGAGCTAAGGAGTCCTTCCTCTTTTATTTTGTTAATTAATTCCATTTAATATTTATGTTTTTTTAAAATACACACACATGTATTTCTATTTATGTTTCTAAGGTCTTTGTTTTTCTTAGAGAGGCTCAGGATGAGGAAGAGAATTCTTGGAGACTCGCTAACGTCCCTACCACCCACACTTTCTTTGGCCTAGAAGCCCTTTCTTCATTTATTTCTCCATGTCTCAATTCAATGGACATATATTAAGTTCCTATTATGTATAATATACTTTACTTGATAGGGATGCAAAGATAAAAATGACAAATTCTGCCTTTAAGGAGCACATGTTATCCTTAAGGAGGAAGAGTAGTTTAGACAGATAATTAAATACAAAGTAATTTCAAGAGGGAGAAAATTCTTACTTTTCTTACTTACTAACCATTGTGGGAATCAGAAAAGTTTCATGTAGGAAGTGGTACCTAAACTGTGTTCTAAAGCAGTGCTTCTTACACTGTGGGGACTGAATGTCTGGGTCATGAAAAATTTGGCAACGGTAAAAGGTTTCTGAACGTGCAACGACCAAAAATTGATTCAAAATCAAATGTACAATGAATCTGAGATATTTTTGGCAGCGCTTGCTTGTGTTGCATCACACAACTTCACTGCAGTCTCAGTTCTGACCACACAACACGCACACTTCGCGCTGCACATGCCATCACACCATGCAACACCAGCAAATGCTGCCAGAAACACCTCAGCTCAGATTCGAGATGATTGTATGTTATAAATTGCAGTGTTTTTACTGTACATACAAAATTGTTAAATGAATATTGGCTTGGGATTAGGACAGAATTTTCAACAATTTCTGAAATGGCCCTAAACATACTTTTGCCATTTTGTACTACATATTTATGCAAAGTAGCATTCTCAGCATTGATGATTATAAGATCAAAATATTGATCAACTCTGAAAAACATTGAAGATGCTCTATGTCTTTCAGTAATGTTCCACCAGAATTTAATTCTTTATGTAAAAATAAACAAGCACATCCATCTCATTAGTATGTAAATTTGCTTTAGTCTTTAATAAATGGTAAAATTATATGTATACCAAGGAATTGGTTTTTTAAAAAATTCTTTATAACTTATTATCAGTAAGTTTGTATACCTATTTCATATACCTAGGTTTGCATAAAAATTTCTCAGGCAAAAAGGGATTGTAAGTGGAAAAAGTTTAAGAAGCCCTGCTCTAAAGGAAGCTATATATTGGTGACAATAGAGAGCCATTGATGATTTCTGAGTTGGTGGGGAAGTGACATAGTCAGATCTATGTTGCTGAACTATCAATTTGGAGGAGAATAGATTGGAAGGGAGGAGAGATTGAAAGCAAAGAAACCAATTAGGAAGTGAATGAAGTCCAGATGAAAGGTGATGAGAATCTGAATTAAGGTAGTGTCTGTATGTGTGGAGAAAAAGGGATCCCTGTAAGAGATGTTGCAGAGGTAGAATTTATGAGACTTATTGACTGACTGGGTATGGAGAAAGAGGGAGAGAGAAGAGCTAAGGATGTAACTTTGTGAACCTAAGTGACTAGAATAAAGGTATTTCCCACCTTTCCTGCACCTTCCCCACCCCCACTCCCTGAAATTGGAGGAAGGGTGGCTTAGGGGCAAAAAATGATCTTTATTTTGTACGTGTTAAGTTTCATGTGTATATATATATATATTTAAGATTGGGACTGGAAAATATAGGTTTGGGGGTCATTGGCAAAGAGTCAGTTGTTGAATCTGTGGGAGCCAATGAGATTACCAAGGAGGAGAGTATAGGAATTGATGAATAAGGAGTCTAAGACAGGCCTTGAGATGTTGTCATATTTAGTGTTTGGAAGAAGGATGCTACTCCAGCAAAAGAAGATGAGATGGAATGGCCAGGTAGGTTGGGAGGAGAACCAAGAAAGAGCAGTGTTCCAAGGGAGGAATGAGTATCCAGGAGATTGGAGCTGTTGGAAGCTTTAAAAGCTGCAGTCTATAATGAAAGCTGAGAAATAGCTATTGGATTTAGCTGTTAAAAAATGATTTGTAACCTTGGTGAGAACACTTTAAGTTGAGATATGGGGTTGGACGTGAAACTGTAAAAGAGTGACAGGTAAGTCAACAAGTACTTAAGTACCTACTATGTGGCAGGCACTGTGCTAAACACTGGGGACAATGTCCAAAGGCTGTCTTTGCTTTTTAAGAGTTCAGTCTAATGGGGAAGACAACATGCAAACAATTATGTACAGACAAACTAGGTACTGGAAAAATTGAAATTACTGAAGAGAAGGAATGCACTGGAATTAAGAGGGACCAGAAATGGCTTCCTATAGAAGGTGAGATTTTAGCTAGTACCTTTGAAGGAAGCCAGGGAAGCAAACAGGTAGTGATAAAGAGGGAGGGCATTCCAGGCATGGAGGAAGAATTTCGATGTAAAAAAGAAAAAGGTTTATAGGACAATAACTTCAGAGTATGTCAAGGTCAAGGGAAAGCTTTTTTTTTTTTATGGTATGGAAGTCCTGGGATTGTTTGTGGGTGACAGAGAAGAAGCCAGTGGAAAGAGAGAGATTGAATATAAAAGAATGGCCAAGGGGAATAACTATTGGAAGAGCACAGGTAAAGGAGTTAATCTTGTCAGGGAAAAGGTCCACTTCTTCATCAGAAACTGGAACAAAGAAGAAAAGAAAGGGTGTGAGGAGGTGATGATGAAGGGGGATTTTGATGTATGGCACAGGAGGAAAGAGAGACCTTGTGATAGATGACCTTTTTCCCCCCAGTAAGATTGGAGGCAAGGTCCTTAACTTGAAGCAGGGTGATTGGTGAGTGGTTGGGTAAATAGTTTTGCACATTGAGGAAAATGTTTGAAATAAGTAGAGAAAGTGTGATAGAGAGTCAATGGGAAAGAATAAAACAATTGTGTGCGGAAGTGAAGGCCTAGTTGAGATTAGGTAGCAAACATTTTTACTGGCTCCAGCAGCATTTGAATAGAAGAGGATAAGATGGATGGGGGCAGGTTGAGTTTAGTTAAGGTATGATTGGCAATAGGACAGGAGATCAATGGAATCAAAAGTAATTAAGTTGATAATGTGACAGAACTGGTTGACCCTAGGGCTAAGATTGGGAAGGGAGGGAACAGAGGCCAGACCAAGGGTGATGGACTTGTAGAATGTGGACAGATGAAGGACTTGAGGTTACTTGAGGGTGAAGGATAGATTTGGGAAAAAGGAGGCAGAGGAAGAGCTAAAAGACACAAGCTCTTCCTAAATATATGGAATGCCACCTATTCCATCATGTAGTGAGGCTGTAATATAGATAGAGGCAGAAGTCTGAGGCAGAAATTTCAAATATTAAAATTGCAAAAGTAGAAAAGTTATAGGTACTGGTCAGAGGCAGCTAGATGGCCCAGTGGATAGAATGCAACCTGGAATCAGGAAGACTAGGATTCAAATCTAGCCTCAGGCACTTATAAGCTATACAACCCTGGGCAAGTCTGCCTCAGTTTCCTCTTATGTAAAATGGAGAGAATAACAGCATTTCCCTCACAAAGTTG